CAGATCCCTTTCACACACATCCCAGCACTTCCATGTGCCTATCCAACTTCATCTTGAAGCTCCCTAGCGTCCCCGATCCTACTATGGCACTCGGTAGCCTATTCCATATATCCACAACTCTATTACCAAACCAGTGCTTGCCTATATCCTTTCTGAATCGGAATTTATCTAATTTAAAGCCATTTGTTCTAGTTATTTCGTTATTACTGAGCTTCAGAACATCTTCCATTTTACCCTTGTTAATCCCACTTACCCATTTGTACACCTCTATCATATCTCCCCTAACTCTACGCCTCTCTAATGAATGTAAGCCTAAGCTTTTCAGTCTTTCTTCATATGGAAGGTTTCTAAGACAGTGGATCATTTTAAGCTGTCTTTGTACTTCTCTCCAAATAATCTATAATTCATTCTATACGAAGTATACAGAACTGAAACCGCACAATCCAATTCCCCACTAATGTTAGTAAAGCTCAAGATAACGCCAGTAGTTCTTGTTATCAGATTCCAGATATGAACCCAAGAATCCTGTTTGCCTGGTTATGAACGCTAATACATTGTTTTCTAGGTTTCAAGTCGCTACAATAAAATATTAATTTTGATCTTTTACATACTAGTTTTTTATTTCCGTGTTAATTTGTTTATACTTAATGCTCTGTATTCGTCTTCCCTCATCTGTAGTAGCACTGTGTTTATAATAAAATTCATTTAAAGTTCACTTGACCACTCCATGTGGCGTATCTAGATCTCTTTGAAGGTGTTCAAAGTCACTGTCTGAATTTATCACTCTCCCCATTTTGGTATCATCTGCAAATTTACTAATCCTACTGAAGTTTTTGTCCAGTGAGGCTTTGTCCAGTGAGGTTTTTGTCCTACCCACAAGATACTTCCCTGTAGTAATGTGAAATAAGGGTAAAGAAATATACCAGTCATACAGTTACTCTTTATATTTTAAGGGATATTCTACACAAACCTGTAGTAAAATATTCATTATAATTAAGTAATAAATGTGTTATGATTTTCTTAAGACAAAACTTCTAAGGTGGTACACTGCATTTAGTTTAATATAAAAATTTAAATTATAAAAAACATTTTGTAGTAGAACAAAACAAACACATGTAGTAACAAAACACCTGTACAAAATCTTGTAGTAAAATTACCTAAAATAATAAAACACCTGCAGAAAAACCACAAGTACTAAAATAGAGCCTCGTAGGCTGTCACAACAAATTGATTCACCATCGAAACTTTTAAGACACAAGTGATACAAAACATCGAAACATCAAAATAATAAAAATAAAGCATTGGATTACGTTAACACTGCATAAACATATAAAAACTATCACTGAAATTAACTAACGTGAAACAACACTGAATTACTTGAATACAACTAAGCAAATACTGATGGACACAAACAGACATAAATAGGTACTCGCATAGATATACCACATTGGTGGCGACAGGAACAACAGAAATAAATTAAGTTTAAGTAACAAGTGACACACAAAGGATGTGTACTGTATGACAAGAGGACTGAACTAACTCAAGTCAGTTGGTGGGTCCTATATATAAGGTCGGCTCCCGCCACGCGACCCGCCGGTGGGTCGTTTAACGATGCAGATGGTCGTTAGAGAACAAAGAATGCTGGTTACAATACAAAATAAAGAAATAAGATGGGCTTGAACAAATAATGACAGTTAAAACCTTAACAGCACAGGGTAAGGTGACTAGAATATATAATAGTAAATTTAACACATTACAGGAATAATATGGAACATGGGAGCATATTATATATAAAAAAATAGAAAAAAGTTCGACACGGTCGTAACAATATATATTAGTATTATTTCTTGGGTGCCATTAAGATAGATAGATATATACTTAACATAATGTGCTATAGATAGATAGATACATATTTATTGACTAAAGTTACACATATGCGATATACATAGTGGAGGTATACAATGTACAACACAGGACGTACATAGAGCAGGTACACACACAATGGCGAAGAATTAGTCTACCCGGTCATGGTTTCCCCAACAATATCACCATGTAATTATTTCCATTATGGACACTGTGACTCTTGTTGTCTCGGTGGAGTTGTCAAATCCTTCGTCCTTTGTGTCAACATAATTTTGTTTCGGTAATGCTGCCACAGACACACTCAGCAAGGTCAAAATATATACGATTATCCGGGTTTTTTATCCCGCGAAGATCACTTAACATCTGAGGAGAGACCGCAGAGACCCTCCGGAACTAAGGAGGGTGAGCTTAAATCATGGAAGGGAGAGGAACGTCTATTGACTCACTCTGGCGTATTGATTGACAACCTCCTTATGATCGATATCTCTCAGGCTTAGTCGTTCGTTTTCAGGTGACACACACACACACATACACACAGACACACACACTATTTTGCCGTGAACTGTTCGTAAACAAAACAAACCGACTAAACTAACCCTAATCTATCTAAACTAACTCTTTCACTTCTATAATTTAAACACATTCCTTTAACGCTAAGTTTATTTTGGTTGGTTATGTGAGAACTTCTCACTTCATGGCAAAATAACGAACCTGTGTTTGATAATTAAAAAAAAATACCCACTGACTTGGAAATTTTTCTTGAAATGTATATATTCTTGCTATTTTGATCACAATACGAATATAAACCTTATAAATAATAGCATTTAAGGGCAAAACAAGCACATTATTAGTATTTGTACGTATAGAAAGACCTTCTTACGGGTCTTAGGTCGTATTTACTTAAGAAAATTACGTGAAACTAGCTATTCACAAAAAATATTATAGTTACTCCTTCTCGACCATTTTCTGTGGTGACGCATCAGCTGGTGGTCGACTCCCACAATGCATCAGTGGAGGAAGATGGTCGTGGTGTGAGCATTGCCCGCTTGATTCAGTTGGGATGTTTTGTCATACCGCATTACTTCCGCCTTGTAACGTAACATATTCTTGTAATTGACATACAAAGTGCACCGTGACTTATAAAATATGTTTTATAATGAGTGATTGTCCCCAGTCTGTTTGAAAGTAGCGACAAACAATGGATAAATGCTGAGAGTAGTGTTTGTTTACATCGTGAATCTGTGTAGGTTGTGTTTACAAGGAACAGCTGATCGGCTGGTGGCTCTATCGTGTTTGACAGCCTTGTAGATAAGTGATATACCCGTGGCCTGGATGATCACTATATTACTCAGAACAAACATGTGCTTACGTCGAGCTATTTAACGGTGATAATACTCCACAACAAGAACAGACGACGTAGATGAAGCCATAATGGGTAGGTTGAGACAATCTGGGCCTCAGATACATGACAAAACAACTCCCACTTTGCTTTTAAATATTCTTATTTTGCTGTAGGAATTGTTCAAACTATATGCCCTAATTTTATACTAAATTATTTAAATGTGTTAAGCATTATTGACATCTAAAATGGTTTATTATCTTAGTTATTCTTATTAAAGTGTTTATATATTTAATTATTCTTGTTGACGTTCGTATGAGAAAAATATTTTAAAAGGCTTTACACATATTGAAGACAAGTTTATTAATATTTATGATATATGAAACAGTATTATGGTGTGCGGTATAACATACAGTACAGGTGATTTCGGACATATACTGAAATATTCTCTCTACTGTTATAACTTACTTGAATTATGACGTAGAATACCTAGATAATTATTTATGCTTGACTATGATAAACATTGATGTTATATCCACAATCTTATTCCTTCATTATAGTGCTGATTATTGTCTAAAGATTAATTATACGTTTGATTATCATGGATGAATATATTGAGATCACCTGTAGATTAGTCCCCAGGTGCCGCGCGAAGTGTGTAGCGGTGTACAATGATAGTTTTATTATTTGTATGTATTTAATTTTGGATATTAAATTTTTAACTTGTCTGATGAATTTATATTATATAAATTCAGCGTTCCTCAGCTATACACACGGATGAAGATAAGAGATATTATATGTTTAAATCATACAATACAGGCAAACAACACTTGGTACACAGTGTAAACAGTGTAAACAAACGACACCAGGTACATACACTGTAAACAAACACGGTACATAATAATTATTATTATTCTCTCTCTCTCTCTCTCTCTCTCTCTCTCTCTTACTGTTCATTGTTAATCATTCTTTTCTCTCTCTCTCTTTTGCAGGCAAGTGTAGTACAAGACGCGTGGAAACTGACGTCCCTAGTGAAGTGCATACGACAAGTGTCACCCCTTCCCCAAGTGTAACCTCTCCTTCCTCACTCTCTTGACCTCCCTGTCAGCGCCTCTTCAAGTACTACCTTGTAACACTTGTCTGGGTGTATGTATGTACCGTACGCTGTCTACTTCAACACTTGAGTCCACCTACTTTAGCTACACCTCCTTCTATTCCTGTCAACTCTCTATTCAACCAAGATGGAGAGTGATAAAGTCGTAGATATCTCCCCCACTTCTTGTACGCCCCAGGGTCCTCCAACACTCTCTTCCTCTCCCTCCTCTCCCTCCTCTCTCCCCCACCACACTCCTCTCACCCCCACCACACTCCTCTCACCACGAATGACAAATGCCTCACTCCTGCCTCTAATATTATAATGACTATCACCACCATCACAAGCAACAGAGAGGAAGAGGGGGAAGAAGACTCGACTCCTCTTTGCCTTCACAATACTCCCAGTTTACCCAAGGCCGCCGACTCGGTCAACACGGTGCGACATAAAAGTAAGTACTGAACCGTCTTGTTTAGTTACCCCCTTGATGGCGTTTGTTATTTAGTAGTACAGTATAATGGGAAGTAATCAGTATTACCATTGGGTTAATCTCATTTGTGGTTGATTGTCAGGTTATGGGAGGCGCTTTATATATTTTTGGGAGCAAGCGAAGATTAGACCTCCCTTCCAGGTTGTTTCACCTTAAGATTAACCTAACCTAATCTGGTCTACCTTATGTTTAACCTCACCTAATTTAGCCTAACCTAACCAAATCTATTTTACCCTATGTCTAACTTAATCTAACCTAATCTAACCTTACCTTAATATCTCCCCTGCCACTATCATCACCCTAAATGTCACCCTCTTCTTTTCTCCCCTTCCTCTCCCCATTCCATTCTCTCTTTCCCTTCTCCTTCCCGCCTCCTTTTCCTACCCCCTTCCCCCCCCTCCTTCCAACCATCACCATCCAGAAGAACAAATTTTGGCTGCGTGTGTTATAAAGTTTACGCGCGTAAATAAACACACTTTATTTACATCCCTGGGAACGTAAACATGGGATTGGTCCATGAGGAAGAGGAGGAGTAGGAGATGAAGGAGGAGGTGAAGGAGGTGGTGGGGGAGGTGAAGGATGAGGAGGTGGATACAATACCTAGATGAGGGATAACAGAAGGTGGGGGAAGAGGACAGCAAGAGAGGGATAAGAGGAGGTGAAGGAGGAAAGAAGAGGTCACCTAAGGGAGGGACGAGAGAAGGGGGAAGAGAGTTGGGGGAAGGAGGGGAAAGGGAGTGGTGCCTCAAGGGAACTATCCTTCTCCCCCTCGTGTCATTATAACATTATGACTTTATGCTTCTCGTGCCGGATTTTTCACACTCTCTCTCTCTCTCTCTCTCTCTCTCTCTCAGTACACAGTTAAATGAGATGAAATACCAGTAGCTTTTTTATCGCTCAATTGGGGGGGCTGAAGTAGGTTGGGGGGAGGGGGCATGGGGAGGGGAGGAGGTGGGTAGGAGTAAACAAATGAACAGCGGTGGTAGTATATTAAAAATGTTCGTAATGTCGTAGAGATGGTTGTTGTTGTAGTGGTTGTAGTTGTTGAAATGGTTATGGTACAACCCAATACAATTTAGATTATATACATATACTGTACAGTACAATCTTAAACTAATTTTACACTTTCCTGTCGGAGAATTCTGACATCCTCCGCGAGGGAAAAAACAAATGGAAGGGTACAATTTGTTATTTAGTAGAAATGGACTCTTTCATTTTGTTAGGACTATTTACAGTACAGGGTACGTACAAATGTGCGTCCAATATTTCTTGGATAGCAGCTTCCGCCCTTTGTGCTGCTTGACGCTTTGGTCTAGTGGAGACTTGTACCTCGTCAGAAACACTAGATTGTGTCAGAGGGCAATGAAGTTCCAATGGTACTAATTTTTCCAAAGTTGTTATGCTGTGTATCCCCTTGTAGAATACTTGGGCCATTTGTACACTTCTCTCTCTATCACAATAGATTGCCGTAATTCTTCCCAATGGCCAAGTAGCACGAGGACCTTCACTCTGTACTCGAACCACATATCCACCTTAAGGTTAATCCTCTGAGTTGCTGTTTGTGCTCCATACAATTTCTCACCAAGAGATGCAAGATAATCCCTCTTGTAAATTTTTTCCCAGTGCTTCAACAATTTATTGAGGTTATTAAGTTCACTAGTACCAATATAATGTGGATCATCAGAGGTATCAGAGTAATCTCCAAGACCAATTGGGCATAGGGTTTAGTCTCCTTCCATAGATCAAATGAGATGGAGCAAGAGGAGTATGATGGCCTGTATATGTCATGGGTCTGTTGTTCACCCTCTTCTCAGTTTCAGTTAGGATGGTGATTAGTTCATCCTCTGATATTTTCCTTTTAAAAAGAACTTTGCAGATGGAGGTTTTCACGAACCCCATCAGTCTTTCATAGAACTCTCCCATCCACGGGGCTCCTGGGGGTACGAACTTCCACTCGGTTCCATTATTCTTTAAGTGAGCTTGAATTAAGGCGTCTGTAAAGATCTTTCAGAAATTTTGAAGTGGTGATGAAATTCGTTGCATTGTCGGATATTATGAGCCTAGGCGATGATCTTCGGGGCACAAATCTCCGAAATAAGTGAAGAAACGTTAGAGCTGATAAATCCCGAGCCAATTCTAGATGAACGGCACGTGTTGTAGTGCACGTGAATAAACAAAATATAATATTTCTTCGGCTCTTCATTTTCAGTTCTGGTTATTGTTATTGGTCCAAAATGATCCACTCCAACCGTGTGAAAAGGTTCCCTGTGTACAACACGTTCTTTAAGCAGTGGGGGAGGTCCTGGTAACTAGAATGGCTTTCCTTTTATGGCTTTACACACCACACACTCTCTCAGGATAGTCTAGATTACTTGCCTGCCTTTAGGAAGTCAATACTGATCTCATATTTATGTCAAAGTGTCTGCTACTCCTCCATGTACGCTTTGAGAACTATATTTTCTAACTATTAACGTCGTAAGTCAGGAGTGACGTGGTAGTAGGATAGAAAATTTGGCTTGAGGAAGTAAATTCAGCGCGACAATGAATGAACTTAGTTCCAGAGACTATGTATAATCCAAGGCTTTTGATCAGAGATGTATAATTTGGTGAACTAGTGTTTACTTGCTTCCAGGTATTCTTATTCTTTCCTGTAGCTCTCTCGTTGTACAACACTTACCCAGTAATTTATGCTATTAGGAGGTACAGTAAGTCTTCGTTCAACGTTGCCCCCGACAATGTTGTTTCGGTATAACGTCGTCACGGACTACTTTGTATGGCGCATCACCCTCTCTCATCTTGGTGCGCTACGCTCTCACCCGCAGAGCGTCACAGCGTCCCCTGTGTTTGTTAGGCTTCCACAGCATTTGTGCGTGTTTAAGTGTTTTTGCTCTAAATACTGTACTCTAACCATGAATGAAGTGTAAATCATGAATCAATACTCGAAATCATGAATCAAGAGTCAAATTAATGAATCAAGAATCAAAATCATGATTCAATAGTCGAAATCATGAATCAAGGGTCAAAATCATGAATCAAGAGTCAATCATGAATCAAGAGTCAAGTTCATGAATAAAGAGTGTAAATCATGAATCAAGACTCAATCACAAACCCATAAATAACAAGGGTTACTGTAATTTATCCTCTTAATTACAACATACTTTTAAAGATATTGTTTGGGGTTATTTGTGGTTGGTAGTTGCGGAGGGTTTCCGAATTCTCCGCTCCTTGGGGACGAAAATTTCCTACTTTCACAAATTTGAAGATTTTTATCATTATATCTTGTTAATTTTCTTTTTTGATTAAATTTTCCTCCTGTAGCCATAGTTTTATTAATATATACAGTACAGTACTCCCTCTTTATCGACGGGGGTTACGTTCTGTAAACGGCCTTCGATAAAGAAACCGTCGATACCGTGATGGTTACGTAATTTTTCTAACTATTATTAGCATATGTTGAATAAATGTACCTTTAAGCATTAATGCATTTCCTTTACACATAACCTTAAATAATAGTGTATAAATAATAATATAATAAGTGGACAAAAATACTAGCAAACTTACGATTTCATTTATTGAAGTGAACATCGGTCCTTACAGTAAACAAAACAGTGTACAGTACAGTAAAAGTCCAAAAATCCGGATGCCCAAGGCAAATTGTTTACCATTTATTATTACAACACTTTACACTGAAACGCGGGTAGTTTCAACAAAAATATTGTATATTTCCATTCAAGTATTTATTCAAGTCAATTAGGAGGGAATATTATTGTAATACAACAGTTTTTTAACTAAACCATTCGAAAAGTGATTACGGTAACATCTTTTGAACGAAAGAAAGTGAGTCATTGTTTTCGTCACGATTTGATCCCACTTTCCACTTTAATACGTACGTCATTTCAACAAAAATATTACATTTCCGTGAATGTATTATATCAAGCACAGTATGAATAGAATATCATTGTAATATAACAGAATTTTAACCGAAAACTATTAAAAAAACGAGTAACATCTCAAGAACATCGGAAGCTTAGGTAAAGTCTTTTGTTTCCGTCATGTATTTTATCCTATTTTACATTGAAATACATCACGTTTCAGCAAAACTACTATTTATTTCCGAGAATATATTCATTCAGGCGCAGTTTAGGTAAAATATACGTGTGATGTAATAATTTTTTAACTGAAAACGATTCGAAAAACACGTACCCTCTAGCCCTGTTCAAGGAGAGGACTGGGAGAAGCTGTTTGGTGCTGCAGACGATGACAAGGAAAATGATTTTGATGGATTTTAATGAAAATATTCAGAAATATGGTATCGTAATATTTATTCAAGTCAATTAGGATATTATTGTAATACAATACAACAGTTTTTTAACTAAACCATTCGAAAAGTGATTACGGTAACATCTTTTGAACGAAAGAAAGCGCAAGTCATTGTTTTCGTCACGATTTGATCCCACTTTCCACTGTAATACGTACGTCATTTTAGCAAAAATATTACATTTCCGTGAATGTATTATATCAAGCACAGTTCAAATAAAGCCAAAATAAAAATCCGGCTAAATAATCCGTCGATAATCGAAACCGTCGATAAAAAATCCGTCGATAAAGAGGGAGTACTGTACCAGGAAATGTGAGGAATAAATATAAATAATACCAATAAATAAGTTACAACAAAAAATACTGTACAGTATTGCCAAACCAATAAATAAAAGCCAAATGAAAATTTAACACAGACGCCCTTTGCATACACTCCCTGCCTCACCACAGTAATGAAGACCAGCTGGGACGCTACCTCTGCCATCTTCCTGGCAATGCTCCCCACCACACACTGCGTCCTCACCCCGTTCCCCCACTAAGCCAGTTAACTCATGTACAAAGAACTGTATATTCCCTTTATGTGTTTGTCCTTATGGCACATTTATTTTACTTTTTTTCACATTATTTTTGTAGGATGGTGTGTGCATGTATATCATTAAAAATAAATGAAGAAAGTTATGTATATCAGCCCATAAATACAAGATGAAAAACAACCATAACAACTCACAGCTTTGCCCAGTAGCCTGGTGGTTACATGAGTCTAACCTGGCTACAATGCTGCCAGTGATGTTAACAGTTGTAAATGTGAAAAGAAAGTTATCTGTAAATCTTCATTTGTTTCAGGTATTTGTAGATTTAAGATTAAATGTTGCAGGTATGGCATTGATAGATTGTATGCTTGTAAGAGTTCAGAAATGGTTACTGCTCAGCTACCTCTGAAGAGTTGGGTGTCTGCCGTATGGACGTTAATCTTATCGGGTTATCATCGTCAGTACAGTAGTTATAAATCCATCTTTTATATTTATAATAATTTTTTTAATTAATAATGAGTTCAAGTAAGCAATAACATATTTTTAATTCTGGAGTTGGGTTAGGTAGAATCTTGCCTACTGGAGACAGGAACTGGGGATTCATTCGCTTATGGGAGACCACAACTTCACATACGTTCCTGGACCCATAGTTTAGTTTAGGTTAAAGCCCATACAAAACAATAATAATATACCCTTATATAACAAATAATGTAAATAAAGTGATGTTAAACAATATATAATGATGAACATAATGTAAAAAATGGGATTTTAATTACAAAAATTGTGGTGAATGTATTGGGATCTTGTTCATAAGTGCGTGTGATGGTAAGTCGGACGGTTGTTTACTCAGGGACTGCCTGCATATAAACTATGCTGGTAAAATTATGCTTTTCATCTTGTATTTAGACAATACTGTACAGGTACTATATATGGTGCAGGTAGGTAGGCAGTGATATCTCTGTTAGCTGGAATAATTGCTGCTAAGCATTTCCAGGGAATGAGAGATTTCTGGATAACCAAATGACTCTCAGAGCCAGAAAGAAATCCTTCATCCCTGGAATGTTCCAGGTACAAAAGTACTTGAAAATTTTTCTCGGAATTTTCCAGAAAATTGCCCCTTGGAAAAATTTTTCCCAAAGCTAGAATTTTAAGGAAAATTATAGCTCTGGGAATGATTTTCCGAGAAAATTTAAATTTCTGCTATCAGAGAGTTCCAGTTAAGATGGATTCCGGCTTATGGAGATATTTACACAGTTTGTTATGAAGTTAGACAGTGCAGGTACAGTATACAACAAGTTTAGCCAACAAAGCCATTAGTTGCTAACACTCCTCATACAGTATTACCAAAACAATATCCACTTCTGTGTAACTAATATATGTATATTTTTTTCAGAGGCTGTGGACTGGTCTTTGAACAGTATAGGTGACTTGTACAGGTCAAGCTTACCCCTCCTGACCTGACCTTCACTCACAGACTCGTCTCAGGAAAACTGTTTGAACTATTTTCACTTTTCTAGTAATGTTTTAATCTCATTTTGTTTTATATACCGTATGTATTATGGTGTGAGTTATGTCTGCATTGCCTTGGGGTACTGTACTGCCATCCCACTTGCACGATCGTCTGTTTTATGTGACTTTTACCATCTTAGTTAAATGATCAGCTTAGGTTAAGTTAGGTTACGTTGGGTTGGGTTATGTTATGTTATGTTATGTATCTATCATCTTTATTGTGGGAATATAGAAATGCCTGTCTTCCATCAGTTCATGTGGCCATTTTAGTGCTGCTCCGTGGATTCTCCCTCAAGTTCAAGATTATCAGTATTTTAATGAAAGGAAGGACTTACTCCTTCCCTGTGTGGTTCATCCTCTCACAGGGGGACTGTCTTTGTTTACACCTACATCAGTCATGTTGAGAGCCTTCACAAAAATAACACCTTCTAGAGACCCCCAATTTTTGGACAGCTGCAGACACAGGTTCCTCTGAAGAATCAACAGTCCCAGAAATAAATGCTGCATAGTTTACTAGAGATGATCCTTGTACATAGGACTCAGAATTCCTCTGAGAGAGATCCAGTGCCCTAGCTTGGTCAAAGGCTGTCTGTAGATCCAGACTCTTATTTTCTAGGAGGTGCTAATGAATCAGTGGTGTCATGAGTCATTGATGAAAGTCTCTTATATAGTCATCCTAGTTCTGTTCTGCTCTAACAGCCTTGAAGTTGTACTCCTTACGGAGCTGGTGAAGTTCCTGTGCGTATTCATCCAATGTTTCATCTTGAAGTTGTACTCCTTACTGAGATGGTGTTTCACCCTGACGTTGTCTTCTTGTGCCCAGAAGATGTCGAGCAAAGAATTCATTCCTGGGCTTCACGTAGAGATCCTGAATAATCTATATTGCAGCCTCATAAGTGTCATTATCGGCTATATATGTGTATACACTAGGAGACACAAAGTTGATGAGGGTGTTCAATATGTCAGGTGTGTGGAATGCAATGGACTAAAGGAAGCTATAGAATGTGTGGTACCAGTGGCACCACTTCCTAGCTGCTTCTGGTGAGTTTAGACTAGAATCCAATCTCTGGCTGCAGACACTTCTCCGTGGTGACTCATGACAGTTAAGATGAATAAATTGCAATGAAACAGAGTTGACTAGTACATAACTAGACTTTATTCACCTTATAACTGTCCTACAATAGTATCTGAAACAAAAGGATATAACAAAATGAGATTATACAATATTGAAACACAGAAGGATCATTTAAACAAGTGATAAATGATAGTACTACAATAATTATTTATTTATATAACTGTGTAAAACTAAGGTGTTACATCTCCCAGACTTACATTAGTACATAAGAACAATACAGAGGTAAACCACAGGTCCATATTTGAAAGGCTAAAGGGTCCCTGCAGTAATTTACTTGAAATATAATCCTGATTCTTTGGCCTCTAAGATGGCTGTTGGAGAGCACAAGCTGATGTACAATATTATGATTATCATTATCGCGCCTTCGTCCCCCAGTTCATCCGGACACCCTCTCTCCGCCACATCCGGACCTCTCCCTGCCACATCCGGACACCCTCTCCCCACTAATTGTCCAGTAGTGCGAGAGTTTACTGTACTGTACAGGTACCTACAATAATGATAACAGCATCTGTGAAAATTCAGCACAATTGATTACCACGTTCTAGTGTTGGCCGTCTGCTCCAGGATTACTGTAATATTTATTTAGTTAAATCATCACACAGCTTTACAATATTTCAGCATGTATATAAACAATGCAGGTATACATTTCAGCATGTATATAGACAATGCAGGTATACAGTTCAGCATGTATATAGACAGTGCAGGTATACAGTTCAGCATGTATATAAACAATGCAGGTATACATTTCAGCATGTATATAGACAATGCAGGTATACAGTTCAGCATGTATATAAACAATGCAGGTATACAGTTCAGCATGTATATAGACAATGCAGGTATACAGTTCAGCATGTATATAGACAATGCAGGTATACAGTTCAGCATGTATATAGACATGCAGGTATACAGTTCAGCATGTATATAGACAATGCAGGTATACAGTTCAGCATGTATATAGACAGTGCAGGTATACAGTTCAGCATGTATATAGACAATGCAGGTATACAGTTCAGCATGTATATAGACAATGCAGGTATACAGTTCAGCATGTATATAGACAGTGCAGGTATACAGTTCAGCATGTATATAGACAATGCAGGTATACAGTTCAGCATGTATATAGACAGTGCAGGTATACAGTTCAGCATGTATATAAACAATGCAGGTGTACTGTGTAGTTGGTGTAGGTAGGCCATGGGTGTATATTTGTTTGTTATGAAGAAGGTAGACAGTGCAGGTACAGAATACAACAAGTTTAGCCAACACAGCCATTAGTTGCTAACA